CTTGCCAGGCTTGCAGTGGTGGTTCGCTTTGATCGATGAGTCGCGCACACTTCCCGCAAATTCCTACAAAAGCGAGGCACCCCGCTGCAAAGAGGAAGTGTTCCAAGGGCTTCTCAGGTTGTGAAATGTGCAAGAAGCAAAAGCCGACCAGAACGGGCAGTCCGAACATGGGCCAGCGGCAACATGTCAGTGGCGTTGGTAATGGGATGATGGAGCCATGCCACCAACTCAAGCAGTGAATGTAAAATGCAGCTGCTGCGGCGAATGACGCTGCAACCACGCCAAGATCCCGCAGCTGAAAATCGTTGCAAAAGAGTTGCTTGCAAGGGCCAGGCCAGCTAAACAAATGCGTGACTGCACAAGCCTCTGCTTCAGCCACAAGCACAACTGCCCAGCATGACATAAACCACCACACCGCAACAAGCAAGCCCCTAAAGCCGCGATTCCACACCTGTAGGCTCTCTGGCAGGCGCTGCCCTGCAATCTCTCCCAGAAACTGCCCGTAGACAATGAACAAAGTACCCAGTGGCGATGCAAGGGCACCCATATATGCCACCAATTTGACAAATATCACTAATCCCTTTCGCCATTGTTGCCCATCGTATTCGCCAATTTCCAAAGCGCGAAATGCTACAAAATATGCACCCAACGCTACCCCGATTACCCCTGCGTAGGCTACACCAAAAGCCCCTAGCAGAACAATACATACCAAAAACAAGAACAAAGTAAGAACTAGAATGCTGAAGCGAAGCTTAGCCAACGTCTGAAGGAACCTTCCCATGTGCTCTTGCTCTTTCTCATCTGTCAGCAATCTGGCGCCAATGCTCACTTTCCCCAGGTTGTGCATTAGGTCGCCGAAGGTGCTGACCTTCCCCAAGCTGTGAAGTTCCGGCTGACTGGAATCGTCCTGCTCGGTGTGTACGGCCTTGGTAGCCTCAAGCTTGTCGAGCACCCAGTTTAATCTTCTGTCAAACGCCAACTCTGGCACTGGCATCCGTCGTGCTGCAGGGCGTGCGCGCATCTTGTCCCTGGCGGTAATAAAGAAGTATTATTTGGCATCTTGAGTCTTGAGCAACATTAAAGGAGGCTGCAGGCTGCAGGCAGGTACAGCTGATCCAAGCAATCCTTCATCACCCTGAATACCGGCAGGGATTCCGTAATGATGACTTGCACACTCTTGCAAGAGCAAGATTCTCTTCTTGAAGAGCATTCGTTATACATAATCTAGGATACAGGTAGCTATTTTGAGCTAGATCCACTCGCAGTCTACAAGGTTGCAGGTATGTCTACACGCTACCGCATCGAGATCCGCAACAACTGAATTGGAGCCGGCCCAGCTCGAGATGATTAGCCACGCTTGAGAGAAGCTGCCGATCTGTCTTCTCTGGCACTTGCTACTGCTCTCACGATCTGATTCCGTTGGAATCACTAAACAAGTGCTTGTGTCTGGCATGATGGCTGCTGTCCAGGGAGAGATTTCTGACATGCACAGCAACACGTGCGAACCCCGCAGGCATTTGAAAACTCCCATTGCCGGTGTCCCAAAGCATCTTGGGCATGTATAACATATAAACAGTAACCGGAAGCTGGACCCACATCTTTCCTTCAAAAAGCATGTGGCTACGTTCTCAGAAGCAGAGCACGTGAGACACTTGAAGTACTCACAAATGTTCTGAACACCATTTTGACATGGCGAGCTGAATTCTGTCAAAAAAACTACCCCCTCAGCTCCCACACCTTTAACCATGACACCTAATCCCAAGCAACTTGGACTGCCGTACTCTAAAAAGCCAGGATAGTCAGATGGGGACCTGCAATTTCACAGCTGCAGCGCCCGCCCTTGCAGACGAAGTCGGCAAGCGCAACCATTGCAAACGAAGTGCACTTTTCTTACGGAGTTCCAAAGGGAACATGAGCTTCAAAGTGATTATGTAGCGATTGCGCGGGGATTCGTCTGCATAAGTACTCCCCCCCGCACAAGTCATGGCCATCCCAATAGCTTTTCCATCTCAAGCGAAATCGTGGCAAAATATATCTAACCCGTGCTGTAGCAAGGGCTTGAGTTTTCTGATGAAGAGAACTCTTTCTAATAATAACCCTCACGCCACTTTACCGACTTGAGCAGAGGACAATAGCATATCAAGCCTACACTGCAACCAGCCAGTGCGAGACTATCATGCCCTACATGTCGAGGTTATTCCTCTCACTTGACATGGGATCTCTGCTTTCAATATTCGACTTTGCATGAAGTTTTAGCTTGCGCGTATGCCTATACTTGCCTCTGCCAAGCAGATGATGCCACTGCTGCTAATTCTCTACTGGTAGACTTCTCTAGTAGGCACTGTCAAAAGATTTGGTTAAAGAGGTCTGCTACTCCAATGCGTGGATCTCCCCTGTAATCCTGCTTGCTAAACGGCATGGGATCGACAGTGGCTCCTGGCACTGAAGCTGCCTGGCATGGGGCAGGCTGCAATGCTGGCTTTGGCAGCCCTAGGTCTTCGCGCATGCTTACGTGCGTGCCTTCGTCAAGAATTTTTGTGTAAGATTGCTCCACGCCAGCAAGAAGAAGCTTCTGTTTTGGGCAGACGACCCTGCATGTGCAGAATGCGAGTTTCAATATCTCCCGACGCTTGAGCATACAGATGGTAGCGGCTTTTCCGCTGGCCCAGCAAGACCATGCTTGGAAAGATGGGAGGCCGGAGCAATGACGCGACCAAACGATACTGCACATTCAACCCCAATCCTTCCCCTTAAGCACGGAGCCTGTCACCTGCAGTTCTGGCAAGCACCGAAGATACGCTCCCTATGAATAGAGACTTGCGCTGAAAAACCCTCGTGTCTGTGAAGGTGTTGAAGCCGAAGGCCCCCTGACTACTCGCTGTGCAATCCTTGTGAACTGCCTTCACGGTACTCTCATTCTCCTACTGTCCCCAAATAGCCTTTGAAACATCCACTGGAGAGCTCCTTCTGTTTCATTTCCAAGGCATTGCAGTCCAATGCATTGCTTCAGGGACTGCTGAAGGTCTGCTGGAAGCGGTGCCTCCATGCCGTGGATGTTTCGGACTTGCTTGTGGGAGTAGAGCCGCAAACTGATCGAGGGAGCTTAATGCGCCTTCACTCAGGGACATGTTCTTAAATCACGCTAGGTCTAAGCCTATACATGTAAAATGTGCTTCCTAAGTAGGGGGTGCGAGCCTCTACCGTGAGTGTTCAGGGCCGAGGGAAGGCCAGTGTGAAAGAGGGCTGCAGGTAAGGCTGTAAGTTTCACGGTTGAGAGGTATGGCGAAGTTCGCAACATATCCCAACCCTCCTACCCAATTCGTGGGTTCCTCTCGAAACAAAGACTTCCCAAGAAACCTGCATACCTTCTCTCGAAATGCTCTCTGTGCCTTGTTGTTCTATGCCAATTTACTATTGGATCCATGCTTGCTCCTCATAAGAACCTCATCAACCTTACTTGGGAGTTTCTCAAACTCATTTCTACGCCACCCCCCAGGGAGGATCTCTTCTTCCGTTTACAACCACGATGTATCCCTAGATCCCTGAAGGGCCCCTTTGCAAGCAACCCTCGTTTTAATTGTAAGTGTAACGCACGTCGAATGTTGTCCTCCAGGCGTAGCAGATCATGTTTGCTTGGATGCAGCGCTTGAAGCCGCCAGGCGTGGAGCGCCTTAATCGTAGGGTTCCTACAGAGTGAAACAATATGAAAGGCAAGAAGCTGAAACCCAACTGTACTGGTGTAAAAAGGTTTAGGGGGCTCATAGCCAGGTTGCATATCTAGCTGGTGGTAAGATGCAATTTCCAGTAGTCTGGTATCTTCAAATACAGGGAACCCCATGAAACGAACAACAATGTCAGCGATCGAGGAACAACAAGGTGCACCTGTTGAGATGCAAAATCCTTGAGAGGGGTCAGAGGCCTTAGTACCCAATAATTATGTACTTCGGTGGAAAGTAATAGTAACTAGAGTACAGGTTTTGGGTGAGTATATGATTATTAGGTACTTGGACCCCCAGGGGTTGTATGAGGCTCTTGCCTTTGTAGCTCGAGCTTGGCTCAACATGTTTGGTTTTACGGGTTCAGGGTTCTCGGTCTCGGGGCAGGCCCAACATTTAGGTTGCAACTCGAGGTTTTGGCAGTGTCACGAATTGCTAAGGGAGTTTTGACTGCTTTGTGTTCCTGCTGAAAGATCTTATTCGTCCTATCGAGTTATCCTGGGCATTGTACGGGTCAGGACATGTGGTGGTCAGGTGCTCAAGCTATAATCGCTTCAGAACTCCTTGAAGGGGGCAGGCTTCCTCCTATCGAAGCCGAGATCTTGAGCAAGCTGCTATTGCAGACGTGTTTGTGGCGAGTATGACCAGGCGAGCTGACTCTTTATCATGTGTCTACTGTTGGGTGGCCACTCCTCTGAGATGAGGGTTCTCGAGTCATAGTGACATCAAAGATAGCCCACATTCACCCCTGCCTGTTCAAGAACGGGCAGATACAGATTCATGCAAAGCTGCGTGCAGACAGGATTGATGGCCCAGGAGAAGCGGACCACTTTGTGCTATCATCCTCTGTGAGGCGGTTATTGAAGGTGCAACGTAAAAATCACGGATTGTCGCAGGTAGAGTGTGCTTACTTACATCCCGCTGTACTTGTGATCAATTGCAGCATGCAGTGAACTTGCTTCTCGTCGCAAAGCAGAGCCTCAATTCAATGTGGGTTCTCTTTACTCAAGATCGCATCTGCCCCTGCTTTTTGTTTGCAAGCATCTTGCAAAGAAGTAGCCTGGCATCTGATGAAGATCCACATCGAGGCCACTCTGGTCTGGTCAATCCCTTGTTCCACACTATCTGGAAATTGGTACCGACGTGAGTCGCTGTAAAGCATACAAGTTCGTAGGGAATGAAGGAGATGATTCTTGTAGGGGCTAGTGCGGGGCTTTCCCTACTAAGAGGCATAACTTCATACAGGGCAAACAAAATCGAGACACAACAAGTGTTTGCTTCTCCTCAGCGGCTCGCATCCGGCTCTTCTTGACCTTGCTCTTGGCTTTCGTCTTTGGAAGCTTCCTCGTCATCAAGCTGCATGTTCCGATTCTTCTTGACCTTCCTTTTGGCCTTCTTCTTTGGACGCCGCCCGTTGCCGGAGACTCTTGGGCAAGCACCTGGATTGACATCCTCTCCCTCACATGGAGCACCACCTAGCAAGGCTATGTCAACCTGGTGGTCGTGGCGCGCACCGCAAAGATCCGCTTGTGGTCCGCTGCTTGAGCTTTTGGCAGGCTCTTTCATGCCTGTGGCTGGCGGACCTTGCAAACAAATTGCGGGGGCTAACCAGAATCCTAATTTCAACATCATTGGCTATTCTGGGCATCATCTGACCGTGATACAACATCTGCTCTTTTGGGATGCTAGGTAAGATCAGTTTCAACAAGGCTCACCTGCAGCTGGCTCGACATCCTTCTTCTGCGGCCACAGCCTGTGGTAAATCTCGCAGGGTGAGATCAGAGGAACCGCATCATCAGAGTGTCCGGCATCCCGAGCAGCAGCATCATAGCTTGAACAACAAAAATTGACCTTTTCAGCAAAAGTCTTATCCCGGAACTTGATCGTGCGGGCGTGTGTTGTAAGCTTGACCCTCAGGACTTGTACCTTCTCGCTTGCAACAATGTCCTCCAACTTAAGAGGGCTGCCGCTCAAGTCCAGCTCCTCATGGTGAAGCAGCTCACCCTCTCCCCGGCGCCATTCATCAACAGGATCCGCCAAGGTAATCACATTCGCCTTGTCACCGTAAGACTCGCCGGCAAAGACTTGGCGCCAGCGAGTGGAGATCCTCTCAACCATTTGCGAAAGCGTCACTTGTTCAGTTCTCACCTCGCTCGAGGTTGGCTTCCAGGTAAGTACGCAGTGTGCAGTTGTCAGCAGTTGGGCTGCGGTATCCTGAGCTCCCGAGAATTCCAGCTTTACAAGCTGGACGGGCCGCTTGCGGAAGCGGGGACCCATGCTCCCCAAGATCTGCGGTCGATTGAGCTCAAATGTACCAAAGCCGTCCTTGCCATGACTGCTCCAAGTTCCCTTGAATCTAATGAGCTTCATCCTGCCCTTGTCGTCTACCAGGGCTACAGCCCCGGACTGTTCGTCGAACCACTCAAGTGTGGTCCGCAATCTCCAAATCTTCCACTTTCCTTCCAAATACCCTTCGAGCCCAGCACGGACCCAAACCGAACCATCCATGTCAATGGCCCCTCCCCGCAATCGAGAGATAGATTCCAAGTTCAATGCGCTTGGGACCGTGTTGCCAGGCTCAAACAACTCGTTCTTGTCAATGTGGCAATAGCGAACAGGTGCTAACCCTGGGGGCCAGTGGCACCACTGGCCATCCAAGCAGCTAATCTCCATGCTTTGCAGGTTCCTGGAGCGAGTGGTTTCGGGCTGGCATTTTGTTGCCGGGGAGTGCATCAAGTAAGAGTTTGGCCCCCGCAAGCTAAAGAATAGGGAGCCTGAGATCCCCGACATGGATTTTCCAGACGTGAAGCCATGGGCTACGACTTGGCTATCTCTCCCTGCGTCTGTCCTCAAGATCAAGAACCCGCACTAAGAAAGAATGCCAGAAAACACACCCATCATGCCATTGTGATCTACAAGCGGCGCGATACTAAATGCATTCGTTACTGCAACCCCAATCTTGACAAACACGGTTCCATTGTTGCCGTTGCAGTCACACCAAAACAAGAACACAGGAAGAATGCGGTGGGTTGTGGGTCTAAAAACTGTGCACTTATGAGGCTTAGAGTGGGCGGACTCCATGGACTGTTTGGGTTTAGATATTTTCTTGGCCTTGGCCAAAATAAGCTTAAAAAAGCTCATAATCCTGTCCTAACTCTCCAGACCCAGCCGCATGCAAAAGGTTTTGCGCTTAGGTGCTTTCGACCATAACATGGAGCGCATGTAGAAGGACTTATTCTACATCGATTTAAGGCTGTTGCCCTGGGCTCTGGGTCAATGGCTGATCCATTAGAGATTGGCAAGCTAGCAGAAGTCCCAGATTACTGGTATCACTACGTTTTTGGGTGACCTGCTTACCTTTATTTAGGACAAAAAGGGATCCATATTCCAAACGGGAATAGCTTTTCCAAGAAAGGGGTCATTGATGGTCATTGCTTGCTTGCTTGACCTGCGTCAATGGCAGGGGCTAAAAACAAGTCAGCGTCAGGTAGGGTTATCGTGCAGCGGCACAATCCATGAAGATTTGGCAAGGAAGTTGACATGACTGAAAACAGCGCAAACCGTAGAATTTACTGTCGCTGTCTCCATACGAAGGTTCAAGGACCCCTGCCACCCTGAACGTCCTGCCTGTAACATGTTCGATGGCCAGAGACTTCCAGGGTCCAGAAAGCCCAGAGGCTTGGCTCCTCTGTGAACTGAACCGACACAGCCAACCTCGACCTCAGCAACCTGCTGGTCGCCCACACCTTGTCCTGTCCAATGTCAATGTGAATTTTCTCCCCAACACCCAAAGTTGCAGATGTCAAGCTCTTCCTGCTGTGCTGATTCTTTGCGGATTTTTTAGGGATGAAGCCCACATTAGCTGCGGACATCGCCTCGTAGAAGCGCACGTTTCCACACCACCACGTAGGCACGTCGCTGAAGTACCGCATTTGTGGGCCTGGGCAAGTCTCTGCATCTTCGAAAGTTAGGGGTTCGTAATCAACCGGATGTGACTCGGACAGAGCTCGGGCAATGGTTCCAATCCTCTTTAAGCGGAAGGCATATGCCTCCAATGGCCCCTTGATTGTCAGCAAAGCCTGCGCGATAAAGGAAATCACATCAGACACGGCAGCGGCACCAGGTGCCGCCAGCAAAGTAACAACTGTGGTCGCGCTCGCGGTTACGAATCGGAAGATCTGATAGTCCAGGATGCAGTCGTTCTGCTGCATGGAGTACGGCAGATTCGCTGCGGACACCAGCAGTACATTAGCTGGAGGTGGAACCAAGGACTTGGCCAGTAGATCGTACAGAACAACATGACCTCGCATTTGCCAACAGGCACACCCCAAATTCCATGCTTGTTGAAGGGCAGGAACACCAAAAAAAAACAAGAACGTCGCAGTGCGCTGAACCCAGGCGGCTATTCCGACTCCATGCCAGCACTGCGCTTCCAAATTGGCATCCCGAAGTATAATTACTTTTCGAACCTCGGCATCCACGATCACAAATAGAGCAAGTGCATGAAGGCCTGCATCAACAAGAGTGAACAGACCTGTCCAACGCCAGCAAACTACGAGAACGCTGCAGGCTGCTACCACCACGGTGAAGAGGAGGCGGTATAATGCAGAGTTTCCCAGCCACCAATCGTAGACAATCCAGACAAAACCGAACACGTATCCCTCAACGGACACCTTCTGCGGGCCTCCCACACTCAGCGCATGATCATACATGTCTCCCACAATATCTTGTGATGCGCTATAGTGCACGTAGGCGTCGCTGAGGTGAATTGGTGCCAGCATGACGAAAAGAAGCAAGCATACCTTGCCGATGAGAAACACCAGTGACACACTCGCCAGGAGCATCACTTCATGATGAGCAAGGAAAGGCACCTTGTTGCATTTGTTGCCCAACTCTGACATGTATTTTCGCCAAGATGAGATGTGGTAGAAAGGAACAACTGTGCACTGCATCGACATTGCAACGGCCTCCACTCGTGAGGGAACGTCCGAGAAGCTAGGCCAGCTTTCCAGAGGCTTTTGAAGATGAAGAACTTTTGTGCATTCGCCTGTAATGAGGCGCGGCTGAGATACTCGATGTCTGCGCAGGGAAGCGGTTGAGTCAAACTCAGCAACAACAAACTTATGATACGGATTCTTCGCTGTTGCCGGATCCCTCCTAAACTTCACCCAGAAATATACGCGCCAGTGAAGTTGACGAAGAACATAACAAGATAACAAACCCGTGAACAGGAAGAATAAGATTTCGGCGGCCAAGGGTTCAGACTCTTCACGGAAAATGCTGAGGCCCCACATGCTGCCAATGATTCCGGCCGCTAAAATCGGTACCAACATCTTGCTGAGCCAGTCATGTCCACCCCCAGCTTCCGCCTTGAGGAAATCAGGTCTCAGTGCCTCCCATGCCAGCCCACAGCAGGCCGGAAAGGCCGTGACAGCAAGCAGGAAGAATCGGGCATGTAGCGCTGGTCGGACCGTACTCTCTAGAACGGTAGAGCAGGGTCCAGTGCCATCATGGAGACAAGCAGCCAACATGCTCGGAGGACTAGTGCGCAGCATCTCCTGGCTTGCGCTCATCATGCGAACAAACGCCACAGCAACGCCAAAACAAGCAAAACAAGTCAGTGATACCAGTACCTTCTGCCAGGGTTGTAGATATCGCGTATTCCGGGCGCAAAGTCGCGAGCACGCCCCTGCAAGACCGACGAATGTAAGGCATCCCAACGTGAAGGTGAAGTGGTCCAAGGGACTCTCCTGCTCGTAGTAGAACAAGAAGCAAAACCCCAAGAAAATTGGCAGTCCAATGGAGAACCCTTTGGACAAGAGGGTGGTCGATGACAATCTCTGCAACATGGGAAAGCGGCAACATGCCAATGGTCGCGGTAGAGGTATGAAACAAGCATGCCACCAACTCAAGCAGTGAGCGAAAAAAGCGCCTGCTGCTGCGAATGATGCAGCCGTCTGGCTGAGATCGCGCAGCTGAAGATCGCTGCAAAAGAGTTGTCTGCACGCACTGGGCCAATCGAATAAGCGGGCTAGAGCGCATGCAATTGCTGAAGCCATCAACATTGGCACCAAGAATGCCCATGCCACCTCCCACAAGAGGCAAAACAGAATCCCGATGGGGCTGATGCCGATATCCAAAGACTTTAGGGATGCAGGCAGGTCTCGCCCGCACACCTTTGCTAGGAATGGTCCATAGAGAATGAGCAGGCCAAAGCCAGGCAACGCGACAGCAAAGATATATGCTGTAGTTTGAACTGCTAGCACCGCAGCTCTCCTCCATTGCTGCCCATCGTACTCACCGACTTCCAGGGCCCGCAAAACAATCAGCCACGATCCAACAAGGCCCATGGACACAAACAGCAAGATAGTAAATAGCAGAGTCCGAAAAAGGAGCACGCGAAGGATTCTCTTTGTAAGCGGAAGGCTAGTGAATCTGACCACATCTGCCGTCTCATCCCGCGCCAGACGGTCCGTATCTTGATGACTGGCGTTGTCGCTGTAGGTGGCATTGGTCGCCTTAAGCTTATCAAGAATCCAGTTCAGCTTGCGATCAAACAACGAATCCTGCATAGCCGGGTATGCCACGCATGCAAGTACTGCGGCTTGGGCACTTACCAGGCAGGCTGCAGAATTGAAGTATGCATGCGTCATGTGTCGTGCTTACATGCAATGGACGTGTATTTTGGGATAGTCGCCACAACATCCTGTGAGGCAACTTGGAACCAGGAGCTAGACTGGCACTTGCAGTTTGACAGAACTGCATTTCCTTATTCCTGACTAGCCATAGCTAGCAAAACATTGGTGCAGGCTGAGCATCTGACGACACGCTTCGTTGCCTCTTCCACTAGCACAACATTACCAACATGCGTATACGTATATGGATATATATATATATATACAGGTGTATATAGGGGTATATGGGTATGATGGGTTTGGGTTTGGGATACCCATCAAAGAGGGGTCGTGTACCGAATATTTGGGTATCATACCTTCTTAACTATCCAGCGGCCACTGGCTTCCGAGGTGTAGCAAGGGCTTGGTCATGCAGATTTGTAGCTTGGAGGTCGCGGACTTCAGGGTTTTCCTGCCCACCTGTTAGCCTGGTATCATTCGAAAGAACGCTTTTCTTGTGGGACTTACGGTCATGACTGACGGCCTCTTTAACCGTGGGCTTACAGAGGCAGAAGCCACACAACAGCTGCCGATGCACAACCAAGTGGTGGCTTTTTTGAAAAAACGTTGTCATGTGCAGAGGATAGCGCAACCCTCACATCAGGTCAGGATTTAGGAGTGTGGTTGTTCTTGTCAAGTGAGATGAGACTACATTGGGGCATGCAATTCGGAAGCTGCTGCAGTCAGCAGTACATGTGCGCCACAGTAGACTATTTGGGCATTATTGATACGCCAGGCTTCAATACTGTGGTTAGAAACAGTACTATGGTTGGAAAAACAAGCTCATGGTATACATCCCAGGAGAGGCACCCTGCACCAAACGCCGCTGACAACCCCGGGAAGCGGCCGCTCACAGCAATTAGACCCTAATCATCTTAACCATTGGGACCTGAGGCGCTGACAGCAGTATGTTCTGAAACACGTCGGCCTCCGTACCTGCGGCTCTGTTGTTTGGACTTGGTAGCATCCCAGCAATTGCGAGACTCCCCACATGCAAAGATCATGTAGAAGGCCTTTCCTCAGATGCCGTGTAGACATGCAATGCAACCAACTGGGATTGGATATGCTGCCGGGAGGCCTACAATGGCCTGCAAGTATATATGATGAGGTGCTCAAAACTCGGACCCACCCTCTACGCCTTTAGGCAACACAAAACAGGAGGATTCTGCCAGTAAATGTACCAAACAAATGCCCCAAGAAGATTGGCCCATGGCCAAAGAATTCGACTTTCTTCGTTGGGAATATTGGGGGTCTAATATTGGGATAATGGAAAGGAAAATGGAAGCTAAGGGTTATATAGGGATTAGCTAGGGGATTGAAGGCTTAAGCTTTTCTGTCAAGGGCTCGACACAGCACTACACTTACTCCCAAACGCTAGCCACTAGTCCCGGCATGAGCCTAATCTTGTCTGTCAACTCTTGCTACAAGCTCTACAGTATTTTGACGCAGGCTTGGAGGTCGGCGGCTTCAACATCCTCAATTCCGAGCCCTTCACTTCATAGATCTGGGTGCATCTCATCGCCCAGAAGTGGAGCGCCAGCGTGTTGTGAGTGGACACGGATCTGCCACAGGATTTTGCGCTTAGGTAGGAGAGAAGCAAGCTTCCATGTGATTTGGGCGTTTGTTATGAGCCTTGAAGCGCCTTTTGGGGAATTTCTGATCTCAGCTTGCCCTAACCTCTGAACCCAAAACCCGAAAACCCTAAACCTGAGTAGCAACTTCTGGGATTTGTTTCGTCACGCCTTCGTTTGCATTAAACCTTCTTGCAATCAGAGCTTACACTCACTTTTCTAGGACAGTAGCCTAGGAGGGTAGAAGGCTTTGGGTCAAACTTTTGGTGTTGTTTTGAAAGCTGACGCTGTTGGACATGAGATGGATATGTTAGGAGCCCCACTTGACGTCTATCAGGGCCTCGGTTGCGGCTTGAAACTCCAGAATGAAGGAATGGGGACACCGCTAAGTAGTCTACTTGGCTGAGGCTGACCGGCACCAGAGCGGCATTTGTTCCAACGGCAAAAACGGAGAACAGGGAGTTCTCAACCCGCGCTAGAGTAGGGGACAGGGGTGAACATTGCGGCCCCTGTCTGAATATACTGAGACCAAAGAGATCCATCAACAGCTTTACTACTGTATGACTCCTTCTGCCATGGCAAACACACTCGTTCTTGAATGCTCCCAGTGCCATGCACATCTCATTT